TATGATAAACTAAGTTAACAAATCAAGCTAAGTGGGATTCTTTTTGTTAAGAATGGCAAAAACTTAGTAAAAATTTTTTAATCTTCTCTACCCAAATCAACCACGGTAAAAAAATCCTAGTCATCGCAACTAACCCTTTCGGCTTCCCTTTTTACAATCTCTACTAAGACATTTGCCAACTCCAAACTAACCAAAAGATTAGTGAAAACCTCCCTACTATATTTTTATCATAAAAAATCACTACAAAATCCAATTGAAACCAAGCCCATACCGATAGCACCTCACCAAAACCCACCTATACCTTTAATCGAAACCCAACATCACCAACCATACCACCACCATTCGCAATCATCACTCATATTACATTGAGACCACCTAATTCTATCACAGCCTTTTGCCCAAAAAAAAACAAAAGCTTCCTACTATCAGAAAATCTAAATTATCTAAAACTTATCCCATTTTCTATTAAAACCACAAAATCCAAAAAAAAAAAATAATACACATCCGTTATATTAGGGGAAAAACAATGCCAAGCAACATAGTCCAACATTTCCAAATAAAAAAAAAACTAGAGTTGATTACTAAAGGAAAAGAAATAAGGGGAAGAGAAGAAAAAAATATGAAGAAAAAGAAAAAAAGTAAATTCAACTAAAAAGATAAAAAAAAAAAAAAAGAAAGGGAGATCAACGACTAGAAGGAGAGAAAAAAGGGAAAAAAAAAGAAAAAAAAAAGAGAAGAAGAACAAAAAAAAGGTGAAAGTTCATCGTTTGGGAGGAAAGAAAAAAAAAGAAAAAATAGTTTTATTGGAAAAGAAAAAAGAAGAATGAAGGAAAGAAAAAAAAGAATGGAAGAAGAAAAATGGAAGAGTTAATGGTAGGAAGAAGAAAGAAGAAGAAAAATGGAAGTGTTTGTTGACTGGAAGAGAATAAAAAAAGAAAAAAAAAAGAAGGAAAGGGATTAAACATATAGTTTAGAGGTTTAAAAAAAAAAAAAAAAAAAAGGACAACCTAACCCGTTAAGCCCAACCTAACCTGTGTAAACCATTAACCCAAAATCCCAACAAATAATAATAATTAATTTATTATTATTATTATTAATAAAAAAAAAGAGGATTTTAGAAATAAAAATAAAATGATATTTCCTTGTTAAAATATGACTTTGAAATCCTTATCTAAATATTGGAGAAAATTCAAGTGACTATTTTTGCAAAGAAATATTATCTTTATAAAAACTAATTAAAAAATTGTATGTTTTAAGTGAAAGATCAAAATTTTTTAATTCCACCAAGGTATTGGAAATTTAAAAATTTAAACAAATAAAAAATAAATGTTTTAATGCCATTTTCATCCTAAATTAATCTATTTAGAAAAGAAACATAATTAAATATGATATTTAATTTATATTCATATTATCATATGTGCATTCCATGCATTACTACTAATAAATACGAAATAGTAAGGTAACAATTTCAAAAAAAATTCTTTTAGGAAAAATAAAAGTAATGTTTCAAAAAAGATTTTAGAGATATTGCCTAAATACCGGAGGAAATCCAAGTCATATTTTTTAGAAACATTATTTTCATTTTTACCCACTTTAATCTTGAAATTTTTTTTAAGTGAAGGATAAATTTTCTTAAATTCTGCTAAAATATTGAGGAACTAAAGAAATTTTTTTCACACAAAATAAAATAACAATAAATAAAATTTTTTATCACTAAATATTTTTCAAAATAAATAACAAAAAACAATAAAAAGGGATAAAGTTAAAAATTTATAAGATGAAATTGAATTGTTCATTCTCACCTTTTAATTCATATTTGCATCATTTATTTGCATTGTGTTACATTGCTTACATTTTCTCGTTGTCAAAAGAAACATAAAGTAATAGACAGTAATTTTGAAATTTTATTTGTTGGAAATAAAAGCCTATATTCAAAAGTAAAAATAATTGTTGGGATCCTACTTAAATATCAGAGAACTTCTCAATAATTATTTTTTATAAAGAAATATTATAATAGATCTTAAGAGAGATGTTACGAGAATTCCAAGTAAATAAATACTTTTCGATATTTAACCTTTGTATTAGGAAATTTGGAAAAATATTTCGAAACCAAAGAATTTCATCTTATCCTAAATAAAATATTTGTTAAAAGGTTTTTTTTTTTTTAAAGATGAAAATTAAGGGAATTGTTTAAATATTAAGATTAAAATCATTTTTATTAATACCAGAGGATAACATATGATTAATTGGTATAATTTTTAAATAGACGTTATAGAAGTGCTATTCATTTTCCTCATATATCCATACTCCCAATTTCAAATTTATTTTTTTAGATCAAACAAAAAATTATTTTTTTAATAAATTTTAATTAATTTTAAAATTTTATTAAAAAATAAAATTTTCATATAACCAATTACACCTACTCAAAATAACAACTCTTTCAATTTTGAAATTTTTAAAATTTTCATCTCACGAAACTGATATCACAACTATAACCATACCAAACCAAACAAGTAAACAAGCCCCATTACAGAAGAGTGGTATCAAAACCATAAAGCGGATCACGAACCATACCACGATACAGCAGAGTGAACGGAATCCTAACTTCCAACAGCGTCACATTGTGACATCGAGATAGATAGCTTGGAGATCATTGCCATGGTCTTTCAAATTTGGGGTATCATTGGAGTTTTGGAGAGAGATGGGGGATTTTTGTCTTCTAATTTAAGGTCTGGCCGGAGGCTTTGCATTGCTGGGATTTATTGGTTAAAAAAAATTTAATCAAATTGATCGAATTTAATTGCATCGATTAATTTTTAAAATAAATAAATTTAATTTAATTAATAAAAATCAACTAAATTAATTAAATTTTAAATTAATTGAACCGAATAAACGAGCACAGAATCCAAAACTTTTAAGTTAGAGATTACATCAATTTAAAAAGAAAAAAATGGAGGAAAACTTGCAGAATTTTATATATATTTTTTACTTGTAGCATCTAACTATTTCCTAATCGTTCTCCCATGCAATATTAAGTACTAATTTAATATTAAAGTTTTGGTCTAAATTCAATTCAGACGCTGAAAAATCAACATGCATTTAAACAATTCTTCACTGAAGTTGGTTTCCAGAAGCATATACACCTATAAAATTTGACTAGCTTAATTAGAAACATTCAAAGGTTGGAATATATTATTGCAAATTAAGAAAACCAAAAGTTGTGAAAGGGTTCCTCTACCTAGCTAGGTGGTTCAAACGCAATCAATAAATTTTAATTGTAAACAGTACAAGTCTAGATTATAACTTTAAAACATTTAATGTTTTATAATTTCTTTTCTTCAATGCCTTTCCGTCCAATCTTTCTTGCTTTACAAAAAGCGTAGATAGATTTTAAGTGATAGAGAAAATGGTTTGTTGAGAGTTGTTGGTTAGTTTACCAAAGCCTCCCCATTTGAATATGGAGAGAAGCAAACTAAACCACCTAAAAAGCTTATGTAAATATCTATTTATAAATTCCATGTGAATATATTAAATTTTAGCTAACACAAAAGTCACAAGCATTGCCATCATGCTTTAAGACAAGTGAACCCATTTTAAGTTATGATCAAAATTATTGACACGAAAAATAATATGATTCTTTTAAGAAAACTTGAAAGAGCAGAGAGTATAGAGTCAGAAATGTTACTTGCATAATTTATTTCTCCTTTGTATATTCTACGGAAGATGACGTGGTTACGTGAAAATATAACTATCTATCTCTGAAACAATGTGTCGGCACTAAAGATGTGATAAGTCAGAACGCCGCTGACGTGACCACTTAGATATAACAATGATCAGTTTAGTTGTATTCGTCATGCCATCGTCTATAAATCATAAAAGTAATGAGTTTTTCAATAGATTGAAAAGGGTATCGAGAAAACACTCTAATGATTAAAACGTGATTTGTCTTTTAATTTGTAAGTTTCAAATTCAAGTTCTGAGATATTATAAATTATGTTTGTCTTTGTACTATTGGCTTATGGTAATTCAACAACGTGGTAGGAGGTTTTGAAGTGGAATATATTATTGTACTTCTTGTCAAGTAGCTTTTATAATTTACCTAGCGAAATTATAGCTAGTAAAAATTTAGACAGCTATATGGTTACCTTGATTTATTTCTGCCAGCTTCTATGCGATATTCAGTTCGTAGACTGCTTGAACTGGGCTGAATAAATCACGATAACCAAAAGTGGTTGCTGGAGGATCCTTTGATGCAGAAAATTTTATGCATGGGAACAGGAAATGAAAGCTAGCTCTGTCGGCCCAAATTAATGTGTGAAAAAAAAGCTAGTGCAAAGACGTATATATCACCTGATGCAATAAAAAGCACTGTAAATTTGTGACTTTCTCAACTGCATTCAACTTAATACTGTCAAAACTACTAACCAATCTTAATTTATGGGTTTAATGATGGAAACAAATTTCATTGATACCTCATGAATTTCTCTTGTCAATCTGAATGTCAAAACCATTTTCTGGAATTAAGTGCTCAGTTCAAGTTGTTCAACCATGACACCAGGTAAAAGCTAGAAAGAGGAAAACAGCTTTTAGTTAAAGCCTTGAACATATAGTAAACTGAAGCAATGTCTTGTGGCCACCCGCAATACATCTCAGAGCACAAAAGCTGAGTCTATGTTCATACTCTGATGCATACAGGACAGAAACTAGAAGCAATTCACACTTGTGTTATACTAGCAAGAAGCAAGGCACACCCACTCTCAGCAATAACATTTTTATCTGCATGTATTGGCTTTTCAACCATCAGAAGCATGCAGGCAATGGCAATTTAAGACTATATTCAGATTGAGCAAATTGCAAAAAAAATAATAAATCAACCTGGTCATAGGAATTGAATAGGGGAGGCCATACAAGCAAACATTTTGTTATTCATTGCTGGGAGTCTTGAAGGGAGGGGGGGGGGGGGGGGGTAAAGATTTCTGTTAATCCAATATTGGCAAAAGACAAGCAACAACTTACATAGTCTAACATAGGCCCATATTGAGCCATCTCACACCATGCATCTCATTATAGTTGTTGTGTCTCTCAATGAACTAAACAATGCTGATCATATTTCTAATAGAATACAATAACATCATAATATTAGTTACTCTCAAAGTAGCTGAGTCAAAGAACATCAGTCACGTAGCAATGATTATGGATTATAGGATGGACAATCTATATTGTTTATAGCTTTAGTGCTTCCTTTTAAAAGAGATGGAGAGGACAAGAGGAAAAAAATACCATATAACTTACAAGGAATGGAACTTCAAACTTACAAGGATTTTACAATTTCAACACACTGCAATCAGAACTTATGTTTTGAGATATCATAGCCTAGTCCTCCAAGATCTGCTGCCGTTCAAGCTCAATGACATGTTCAGTCAAATGGCTTCCAGTGCCATTTATTGACTTATTATTGCCCTTGCACTGCAATAGTTGCTGCTGAAGACTCCGCACAAGTTCATTAAGTCTCTGAATGTTCTTCTCTTGTGATAAGATGATCTGCAACAAGTGACAGATTTCCACTAGAAGTCAATCAGAAGTTAAATAGCTTATGGAAGGTATGAATTGTGACAAAAACATCCAACTTCATTATAATTTGCTTCCAGAGACAAATATTTCCAAGTAACTAGTTCCTTCTTTTTGGCATATCAGAGGTTGAAATAGTACTGTTCCTTCTAGAATAATTTGAATATGTGGGATTAGAACACCATGATTAGTATCAAAACGAAATTAAGACTAGAAAACAGATATAACAGAGAAAAGCAAGAAGTCAGCTATTCACAGAAATAGAAACAAGCTGACTAGGCAAATATTTCTGTCAAATTGAAAAATTTACACAACTCTTTTGCATTTTGGTAGATAGGGCCTAAGCAATGAGTAACCTCTTAGGTTAACAAGTAATAATGACAGGTTTAAGGAAAAGATGTCCGCATCAGCAGGTCAATATGAAGTGTGAATAATAAATAAAGGCCATTAATTAACTCTTCCTAAACATGTCCTAAAAAGCTTAACTGCCAAGAACTTATTTACCATAATAGCCGCAAAAGCCCTTTAACATGGAATGGAAGTAAGCATCACGAATATACCAGACATTATATGATCTTGAACAATGCATCAATAACACAAATCTTTTTAAAGATGAAAAGTCAATGTCTTGTATACTGATACTATACCCTGTTTTGAAATAACATAAATCTTGAACATAAAGATAAAACTCAAAAAAAAAAAAAATACAAGAGGGTGGGTTACAGAAAAGAAATTGCTAAATAACAATAAGAAAATATTTTATTTTACATTAATTAACTTCCTACACCAGTATAAACCAACATTACCAAGCTGATTAAAAAACGGGTTTGCAATGCAGCATATGTTAACAACTATGCATATGATAGACCGTATAAAACGTGTGCATTTCAATGCAACTAATGTCCTTATTCAACAGTTTTCTATCAAAAACAGATAAAGTAGAAATTTTACTTAAAAATTGAAAAAAATACAAGAATTGTTACCTTTTCTTTTACAGCTTCTTCCCTCGTTGAAATTTGTTGCTGTTTCCGGGTTACACTCGAGGTTGTGTCAATATCAACAACATGTGGTTGTCTCCACTCAAACTGTGAGGTTATTATGAGTATAAGCAATAGGAAAACAAGTAACATGGGTCTTGACATCATTATGTAGAAACCTGAAAAAAAAAAAAAAAAGAAGAGAAAAGAAACCCTACATTCAACATTCATTAAAACCATAACATAAACACTCCTTCAACTAAGTGACAGTGAGAATGCGGAAAGTTTAACTACTACTTATAGTTTGTTCAATCTAAATCCCCTTACCACAATTATGTGATAAGCTATTAAACAAACTTATTAAACTTAAAAAAAAAAAAGAATTGCGATGGATATTCATACAGCAAAATTGCAGTAATTTCATATAAACTAAACCCCAACACCTAAAAATACTTCAATAGTAACCCTTAAAAGACAATTTCTGCTCAAAACCCCCACTTTCGGCTTGGTTGCTGCGAAAATTAGGGAAAATACAAGTAAAAGGACCCCCCCCCCCCAACCCCTCTTATCATTCACATAAGATAAGTGAAGTGAAATTTAACTTGTATAAGAAGCCCCAAATAGAATTTAAAAAAAAAAAAAAAGAAAGGAAACTTCTCGTAATCAACACTTCTTTTTTCCAGAATTTTCTTAACAACCAAAACAGAAACCTAAATTTACTATCCCAATGAGAATAGGCGACGAACTGAAATGAAAAACCCAAATTTACACACACAAAAAAAGGCGGGGAAAAACTTACAGATCAAAGTTGATAACAAAACCCAAAATTCATGATCGATCAACACATTATCGATTTCTGTTCTAAGAGTTCAAATGATTTTCGAACCTAGCTTTTTACTTTGGACTTTTTTTTTAGGTTCGATTGTGCTTTTAGTAGAAAGAACAAAGAACCTGTTAATGGCGCAAAATTTCACACCGTTCGACAGTAGTAAATATAACAATGAAATTAAAATTAGTTGATTGGGCTAGGCTAATTGTAATTTTTTTATTTGGATTGGGTTTGGGCTTACATTTTGTAGATTTTAATTGACCTCGAATATTCTAGAGTTGGACGTTCGTCCGTAAAGAATTCGATTTTAAAGTCCAAATCTTTATAAGCAACGTTTTTTTTATAAGCATAGAAAACCCAGAATTTGTGATGGTGAATCCGCCATCTATTATCAAATTAACCGCACTCACATACTTGGGCTCATCGATTTTCAAGTAAAGAGCAGCCTTTAAGATTGGCATAAATGCCACGAACTCCGTCGTCTACCTTGAAAAAATCCTTTGCTACAGGAGTTGAATCACATAAGGCTAAATGCAGTTAATACGAATTCCACACTGTCCCAGCTCCACTGCTGCATTTCTCATTAGCCCTACTCCGCCATGTTTTGAGCTAGTGTAGGCATTGGAAGCAATTCCACCAACTGTTGAATATATGCTAGCGGTTGTAATTATACTGCCCCGACGAGCCGGTTTCATGACTCGAGCAGCATGTTTAGTGCCCAAGAATGCACCTACTAAGTCAACATTAAGTACCGGCTCAAAATCGGACGTTTCATTGTCAATTATGTTGGGTTTTGGGAGCTGAATTATACCGGTATTGTTGAAAATAATGTCAAGTTTTTCCTACCGGGAAATGGCTGCTTTTACAGCATTTTCGACGTCTTTTTCCTTGGTCACATCGCAATGAACGAAGGAAGCAAATTCCGGGCCAATATCTTTGATAACAAATTAGCCTAACTCATCTTTGATATCAGCAATAGGCACTGGACTTCTAAACTTTACCACTAAAGGACAAAAAAATATTGATTTTAAGAATAAATCTTTCATCACTATTTTACTCAATGGTAAATATATATATATATATATATATATATTTTCAGTTAGTTGAATGGAGTAAGCTTTACATGCTTGGAACCTACGGAAGACAGAAACAAAGCCAGCAAAGTCAGGATCACAAAAGTTGCATATATGAGCCGGAGATTGGCAGTACTTAGTGAGAATAGAGATAGCAGACATTTTGGCGACTCCTCACACTTCGGGGACTTGCCACCAACATGGCCTGAAGCGTTGACACAAAGAATATCTGCCTTAGGCCTCCTCAATTTGATTCTCCGGTTTGCTGTGCCCTGGAAATGGGGTTCGTGAGGTACGTTTTCTTGCCTTGGCTGCTGAGTACTCCCCTCAGCTGCAGAAGTGCTGGCAATCATAGGCAGGATGTCAGTTGCTGCTGCTGAAAATGAAGGTTCGTCAAGCTTGATTATTTCATCTTTCAGTATCTCAGCAAAGTAATCTTCTTCATCCTCAGAATCCTGAAATTTAAGCAAAAAAAATCAGAATGTAGATTTTAACAATCATGTACAAAATGAGTTCAAATGCATGATGATTGATGACTCAAACCTATAATGTGATACCAGGATAAATTCTTATGAACAAACCTTCAGTGGTGTAGAAGATTCTGTTGGTCCAACATCATTAGAAAGTTTTAGCTCAGATTCAGATGCAGAATCGATTTGCTCTATAGAATGAGAATCATAGCTGCTAGTAGCCTTCTTTGAAGGGGATTCAACCAGCTTGTCCCCTTCAGACATGCCAGTCTGGTCAGTACCACCATCCGAGGTAGCATGGTTGCTGTCATGCATAGTTGGCAACTGCCGAGTAGCCTGATTTGAAGTGTGATTCAGACGAAATTCGCTATTCTTCCTAAGGCGGCAAACAACTAGGGAATCCTACAAATTCAGAAAGCAAAAGATACAAATTAATGCCCCTCTCAAATCTCCATGATAAAATAGAATATTACAAAACGCAACCATCTCACCATAAACTAACAGCAGTCCCCGTAAATGCATATTTCATGATGAATTGATGACTAATATACACCATCAAAAACAGCAGTATAGCAACGGAAATAACCCCTGATCCAATCAGCCTAAAACTATTCCGAAACAACACCAGGAAAACATATCAGAATTATTTAGCGAACCCTCTACATCGCTTCAGAATTTCTAAATGGATTTTCAAGCTCAAATCAAGGATCATTGACTATAATGACTATAATTCAAAAACTTTGGCCTAGGAAATGTAGTCACTGCAAATATCTTAAAGAAAAATGATTTTCTGTGACATGAATATCTTAAATAAAAATGCCTTTCTCTGGATTCAGCAAAACTCACAACATCTTAAATAAATATGCCCAGAAGAAAATCATCAGTACCTCCAAAAATTATAAGCAAATCACCTGGGATTTTCCATTCATGCAGTATTCATGCATGATCCATTCTGTCCTTTCCCCTTTTGGTGCACGACCTGTGTGGAACACGAGAGTCCTCTTCGTACCAATCACATTACAACCTGACTTGACATTACGTTCTTTCCCCGTGGCTTTCCAATAACCCTGTTCAGTTGCCCGCCTACTTTGTGAACCATTTGGGTACTTCCTTCCACGAGCACAAAAGAAGAACCATTCGTTTTCTGACTTTATGATGGATTTGGCTGGTAAAGAAAAACCACCAGAAATCAATGATAATAACCAAGGAAAAAAAAATCTGTCAATCAATAAGAGAATTCTACCAGAATGAAAACAAATATTTGCAGCACCAAAAGCATAATCTAGATGCCAACAGTGTAATTGCACAACACAATATGAAACCAAAATAAGTTTCGGCATCCCACACACAATTTGATCGTGCATTTCATGAGTATTTCAGAAATTTTTTAGTGTAAGTAATCTGACAAAGGAATTTTGTAAATGAAACTTTAAGTGTACTTCCTAAAGTAACTTAAAGGAGCAAAGATAAAAGGTTGTATTACAAAGGATTACCTAAAAAAATGTAATTAAGATTCCAATTTCCAGACAAAGTAGAAAAGATCCTATACTTAATGGTTGCTAGACTTTTTCCCATTAAAAATGCAACATCCACACGCAAATTAAGGTTCCATTCTTCCTGCTACATCAATTTTAGTTGTCTTCTACTCAATGCATGCAAATCATTTGAGAAAATTTTGTACAACAATACCAAACATAAAAGTAGAACAAAGTACATTCCAGGAAACTTCAAAGAAAAATTTTGACCTTCTCCGTACAAAGTAAAACAACCTATTACACATAATACAAGTTTAAAACAGAATCATACATGTTTATATTGGCCAGACATCAATAAAACTCTCAAATATAAAGCCAGGACATAAACATGATCCTAATTAGATAACAATAGGGCCACCTTGCACCGCTGCTAACTGCCATTGAAAACAGTGATTTCTACCACTTGCTAAGAGAGGCTGATACTATAGATTTAAGTAAATGTTAGTTCTTCAAACCTCTAAATTCTTACAAGCATTGAGGAACTCATTTAGTAAACCTCTCAAGGAACCCTTAAACGTATTAAAGGTTTGCTAAGGTTAAATTGCTTGCACAATAGTTTTCTACCTTTTAGATTCCATCAAGTTTATGCAAAGCCAAAACATCTAAAGGACCAAAAAAAAAAACAGTGCAAAAATGGAAAAATCCCCAAAAAACACAAACTCAGCAGGAAAAAAAGGAAAGTGATAACAAATTATAAGTAGAATTGCCAATTTGGCTTCAATGCTCAATATCACATTGATCTTTTCCTCTCTCTTCTTTTACTACTCTGTTTCTAATTGAAAAAGGCAGTAACTCAACAACTATATACAGATGTACACTTTTCCTTCTTTTGCATTTTGTTTTAAAAGGAAGAGACAAGTAGCAAAATGACAACCGACTAAAATTTTCAACCTCATATCATATCATGTTTTGGGTTTCTAAACAATTAAAATATATTTTTTTAACTGAAGAAAATAATAGGATTAGACTACTAATTTTCCAATTTCCCCAACAAAATACAAACTTCCCAGTCCCCCCTCAGCTTATTCAAAAGGGAAATAGATCGACAAGCAACAGTTCATTGGAAGTCTTTGCCTTTACTTTCCTTCCCATTTCATAAGAACCAAGAACAGTGTCAACAAGCATAACAACACTGTTTATTTCCATTTCTTTCAAAACTAAAACCCAAATGCAATAACATATATAAAATCATATCCGAAAAGAACCCAAAAAAATTTTTTTAAGTTAGAAAGGCCAAGTAACCTGGTAAGTCCCAAGGCTCATAACTACAAATTTCAATCTCAGAAATGACCTCAACACACTTCTCATAGCCATCCAGCTTCTTTTTCAAGTAGTAAGAAATCAATTCAGCATCAGTTGGACAAAATCTAAACCCAGGAAACATTGAAGACGCTTCTATAGACATCTGGGTTTCTCTTGAAATTCCTTCACTTGCCATGACCGAAGCAAAAAAAAAAAAAAAACACAAACTTGTCCTTCTCGTTGTTCTTTTTCTTCTTAATTTTTGTTATGTTTAATATTAATTGGAGCAAAAAAAAAGTCTTTTGTTTGTCATGTTCAGTAGGAGTATCTTTTCTTTTGGGGTTTCTTTTGCTTTTGCTTTTGCTTTTGTTTTTGGTTTCCTCACTTTCGGCTTCGAAGAAATGGATGAAAAAAGAGGGTCGGTTATGTTGTGCTTTGCTTTGCTTTTCTTTGCCATTTTGGGTTTTGGGTTTACGAAGGAAGTGCCTCTAAGCACAGCCATGACCGAAGCAAAAGATCTGAAAAATTTTTTAAAATTTTTGAATTTATAAATTCAAAATTTTTTTAAAATTTTAAATTATACATATTTAAAAAGTTTTAAAATTTATTTTCTAAATTATTTAAATAAAAAACTAAAACTCGTGTGCATAATTTTTCTGTCAATTTATAAATAAATTTATAATCATTTAAAATAAATCATACTTCTTTTAGTATTGTAAAAATAATTTTTAATTAATTTTTTCTAAATTCTAAATGTAACTTATAAGATAAAAACATCATAAGTTATAAAATTTATTGATATATATTTAAAATTTTTAAAATCAAAATAATTAAATAATTTATCAAAAGATAATTTTAAAAAATAGTGTAAAAAGGAAAAAAAAATAAAGCTATGTTTAAAAGCACCTTTTTTTAAGCTTTCTCTCTTGTGTTTGTGAGTTATGCGTATGGAAGGGAAGTGATGTCTGATTGTGAAACTTGGCATCTGATGTCTGTTAAAATGTAAATCTTTTTGTTTGTATGGACGATTATAAAATTTGTGCATGCATCTGGTCTATAGGGATTGAAAAAGTTAACAGTAAAAACTTGCATAAAAAAAATTTTAAAAAAAAAATAATTTTTAATAAATAAATTTGTATGATTATAAATAATAAAATTTTTATAAGGTTAAATATAAAAAAAAAAAGATATATGAGAGTTAGAAAGTTTTATGAGATAAATATTATATAAAAGTATTGAAATTTACGTCTTATGAATATGTATAAATGTGTATATTTAAATATTCGAAGTGAATTAAAAGAGATTGAAAAATCTATATAAGTATGATGAATAGATACATATAAGTATAGAGATTGAGAGAATTTATATAATTATAATGGATTGGTATATATGGGTATGTATTTATTTGTGTATTAAAATAATGTATATAAGTTTGTGTTTGTTTAGATTAAAAATACTCGCAAGATTAAAGAAGATTGAGAAAGCCTATGAGTTTCAATTGTTAAGTGAGATTAATTTGATATATGTTTGTAATTATCTAACTAGTAGATCTTATTTTTTTATCCGTAGACATAAGTCGGTTGGATCGAAACATGTTAAATTATTGTCTCTTGTGTGTTTGATTATACTTCTGCTGGTTTGACTAGATTGTGGTTTTGTAGCCTAACAAGTGATATTTGGTGATCTCTAATAAGTAATATCAAAGCATGATTTGAAACATGAGAAGAAATAAGCTTAGAAAAGCACAATTAAAGAAGAAGTTCGAGTTCGTATTTTAAACATCAGTTTACATGAAGCATAAAGATATACAAAAGAAGATAATTGTGAAACTTTCATTACAAGTAGAGCCAAGCATGTTTAGCATGAAGACAGATGATTGATAAAATTTGAGTCAAAATAGATATTGTTAGGAATAATGACTTAAATCTCAGAGATTTGTTAGATATTATTTGATGAATAAGAAAACTTACAGAAGAAGAATTTTAAAAGAAAATAGGTTATTAATAGATAAGTTTGTATGGTTATAAATAGATAAAGTATTAGGGTAAGAGAGTTGTAAGATTTTATGAGATAGACACTTCATATGAATAGTTGTAAAATTTTGTAAGATACACACTCTATAAGAGTACTGAGAATGTTTGAAAGTAGATTAGAGGAGATTAAGGGATCTATATAAGTACGATGAATTAGTATGTATGGATATATTTTTGTTTGTATTGAAAGAGTACATATGGATTTATATTTATTTAGGTTGAGAATATTCTGTAGAATTAAAATAGATTGAGAAAGCTTATGAGTATTAATTATTAAGTGAGATTGATTTGATATATATTTATAATTTTTTATAATTAATAAATCTTATTTTTTATTTGTGAACGTAAATTAGTTAGATTAAATTATATTAAATTATTATTTTTTATATGTTTGATTAATTATTTGATTATATTTTTATTGATTCGATTTGATTTAAATTTTTTAATCTAATAAGTGATATCCAAACTGTGACGATATGCTAAACAAGGAATAAGAGAGTTAATTACTGAGAAACATTTTGATGATGAATATGGTTGCTGACATGGGTTTTTGGCAGCCATCGCCACCAAACAACTAACTACACGCAACACATTATTCAACCATGCTCATTGACGTGAAGAAAAGTTAAAAAAGAAAAAAGAAAGTTGAAAATCGAAATGCAATTTGATTTTGAGTCCCTTTATTAATTTACAACTTCCATATGCAAAGTGCAAACTTCTCCGTTAGAGCACAAACGAAAGGTCAACTCAACTCCCAAACACAAAATGTCACTGGTGCCTGCCCCACAGCCTGACGGACCGCTCTTCGCCGAGGTCAACATGGGCGGCGACACCTTCGCCCCTACTGTCCGAGCAACTGTGGTTCAAGCGTCAACCATTTTCTATGACACACCTGGTACTTTAGATAAGGCGGAGAGACTGTTGGCTGAAGCAGCGGGGTACGGGTCTCAGTTGGTGGTGTTCCCTGAAGCGTTTATAGGGGGATATCCACGTGGCTCGAACTTTGGTGTTACCTTTGGGAGCCGAACTTTTAAAGGGAAAGAAGAGTTCCGGAAGTATCATGCTTCAGCTATTGATGTTCCTGGTCTGAATCAAACACTTCTTTTTTGTTAAATTTTTTGTTTCTTTATGGACAAGACAGCTAATGGATAATGGTTTTTTGAGATGATAATGTCAAATGGATGATGTGTTAGCCTGCAATCTACATAGGTGTTATTGGATTGATTCTATATTGCAGAAAAAAGTTTCTTCTTGCTTTCTTTTTTCCTCTGAATTTAACCGATAAATTTGTCAGATATTGGATAGCTCAACTGTTTTGATTGAATGCTTTTATTGGTGGAAAAAACTCGAAACTCTCTTTGAATTCGAATCTTGAGGTGGGGGCGTTGTCATATTTATTAAAAAGAGTCATAAGAAAGGAACTGCAGATATGCCAAATGCTACTTTTAAGGGTGGCATGAGTTAAGCCCTGAGTTACAACGTTGTGATTTATGCATTGATAATAGTTTCAAAACTCCATGTACATTATCATCCTTTGCTGTTGCGAATCTATTTGTAACTTACTATTTATCTACCAAAGTATGAAATTCTGTTTCACATCTTGTTTCATACATGTGGCTTATGCTAATTGCAGGTCCTGAAGTTGACCACTTGGCAGCCATGGCTGGAAAGTATAAGGTGTACTTGGTAATGGGTGTGATAGAGAGAGACGGATATACTCTATATTGTACAGTTTTGTTTTTTGACTCTCAAGGCCAGTTCCTGGGGAAGCACCGAAAGCTCATGCCCACAGGATTGGAGCGTCTAATTTGGGGATTTGGAGATGGATCGACCATTCCAGTTTTTGAGACTCCAATTGGAAAAATAGGTGCTGCCATTTGTTTGGAAAATAGAATGCCACTTCTAAGGACAGCAATGTATGCAAAAGGTTTGATTTTTGGACCTTCACTTACATTCTAATCCTGGAGTACATATTGCAGGGCACATATAATTTTGACTTAGAGCTGTCTGGATCATAATAAAGCTTTGTTGAATGCATGAGTGTCAGTGACAGGATAGTGGATACTTGATCAAGTTAGCCCTAAATCAGTCATATTCAACTCCAAAGAATAATCCAGCTGCAAAGGTTTAGTTTTGCAGAATTTACTCAACATTGAATTGGAGAATTGTCACATTTCAGCTTGTAGAATTAGTGTCATAGTACCTGTTCTCCCTCTTAGAAGGAAAATTACCTTCTAATGAAATTAACTGTGATCCTCAATCTCATTCATCCTATGAGCAATTTTTATGGAAACCGCATCTTGAGCTTTCTAGTTTAACTTTGCAAGGCTTTAATTTTTGCAGGTATAGAAATATATTGTGCACCTACTGGTGATGACAGGGATGTGTGGCAAGCCTCAATGACGCATATCGCTCTTGAAGGTGGATGTTTTGTTTTGTCAGCCAACCAGTACTGTCGGAGGAAAGACTACCCACCTCCTCCAGAATATGTGTTTTCTGGGACAGAAGAGGAACTCAATCCAGATTCTGTTGTCTGTGCTGGAGGGAGTGTCATTATATCACCATCTGGAGCTATTCTGGCAGGACCAAATTTCAATGGGGAGGCACTTATATCAGCAGATCTAGGTTTGTACAGTAATCTCTGATTTAATATCTCCAAAACTTTCTTCTAACTTGGCCAAAACCAGATTACATGCATTTGGTTGTTTCAGGGAGAATGTATTAGAATGTCTTAAGTTATTAACCAACAATTCAGAATGTGGCTATTTTCTGGCCTCCTGTCATCTGGCACCCAAATAAAATACTAGGGTGATGCAGAACAATTTTCTCAAGATATTTATGAGAAGTGAGATCAATAGTTCAAGGTGCTCTTTCTCTTGGACTTGGACTATTGATTATCCTACATCGCTTAAAATTCTTAAGACACTTGTTTCTGTGTCAAAGGGTGCATTGGTAGGTAAAAGTCAAGGCTATGGTGAGAATGGTTTTTATGGTGCATTTTGAGATGTCATGTTTTGAATTAAGCCCCGTGTGTATTTGTGTTGTGAGAGAGAGGTATGTCACCTTATTTCACTCTGTTCATGTCTGTGTTTTTGTGCGTTTACATGTGCTTGTCTCTCTCTCCTGTCTGCCTGTCCAAGTTCTTGTAGGTAGGATTACTGGTTCTGACTGGTCTTTTACACTGGTTATATTGAGTGTGTTAAAGCTTAGCACCATGTCTGAAAACTTAGATTTTAATTTTCTTTGGTGGCTAACTCAAATTAATGATATCACCAAATGATTCCCAGATCTTGGAGAAATAGCACGGGAGAAATTTTGTTTTGATGTGGTTGGACATTTTTCAAGACCAGAAGTGCTTAGCTTGATTGTGAGAGACCATCCAGCAAAGCCGGTTACTTTTACATCAGCTTCTGAAAAAACTGAAGATGCTCACAAATAGTCGTGTTCTTGTGTGGTCTCTCACTAATAACCGGATGAATAAAAGTTCTAAAGCCATCAGATAACTGTTGTATTTTCCTGTATCGGATTTGATTTATCTTTAGACTGATGTATAAAACTACTTTGTGATCTTGTGTATCGCCTATGATGTTTAAAATCAGTAATGATACAACCCTGCATCTGTGAATCTCACTCACATGATTTTGCTTCCTGGATAGGGGCTTCACCATTGCAGTTTATTTTCTACTAGTGTTAATACTTTGACTTAATATTTTGGGTTTAGGATTAGATCTAGGAATAAGAATGAAGTGATGTTTGAGTGAAGATTCTAAATTCGAGTCACACTACTCTCTTGTGCTAAAAGAAAAGTTAAGGGTGTAAGTTAACTATAACATGAGATGAACAATTTGTGAATAGATTTGGTTTTTGTTTGTTTATTAAACTTAACAAACGATAAGATCACGAATAACAATGCAAGATGAGACTTCAAGAAAATGACCCTTTGGGGCCTGAATGAAGAGAAGCAGAAACTGATAATTTTATGAGGAACAGCGACAATGTTGAGTTATCATACAAGCCATGTGAGCTGTTGGAGTCTTGGAGTTTTGTCAAATGTATATTCTGAAACAATCCATTATAAACAATTTGGTAGGATAACGTCACATGGATGATGGTGACTTAATATGTGTACAATACATATAATACCAATTAACATGTTGGAAAACAAAAAATTGAGAATAATATACAATATTCTTTAATTATTTTATTTCTTGTGGGTATTCATTATTAAATGGTTAGTCTTAAACCTGTCTCGAACATGCATGAAGTCTTAACCACTACATAATTGAGTAGTGGTTGGTCATCATTGTTAGACATTTAGTTGTCTGAATTTAACCCAAAATACAAATAAATTGAGAATAGAGCAGAACAGAAAGGTTAAAACCAGGCTTCCAAGTGCTATTAATCAAAGAATGAAGTTCAAAGAATATGGATTATACCATATTCATAGCACGATCTGTATCCATGGATTGTACCAGATTCATACAGCCCAAGAGTCTATTTACAGTCTCATTTTTTGGAGTTGGGGAATTGATCAACATAAACAAATTAGCCAGTGAGAATGTTTGAATTTCAAGAAAATGCAACAAAGCACTAGTTAGGAAAGGAAAAGAAAAATAAACAGTTTCTTCTCTCTTAGCTTGTTGAAGTTTGGCTTTTTTTTTTGTCGGAGGCCACAGCCTAAACATAGAGAATGAGATTGCAGGTGCTAAGATTCAAACTCTAGACCTGCCGGATACTACTTCTTAGGGATCACTGCATGAACAATAGAGTTAAACTCCCAAGTTCAAATTCGGCCTTCACCTCTTGTGCAGGCTAGATTAGGCTTCAAACCATCACCCTTTAACACTGGTGAGCCTGTGCTGCTAGGCTCGTGAAAATGCATGGACTGGCTCAATTGCCGGCTTGGACTGGAAAAGCTTTGGATGGGTGCAATTTTATTACTAGATAATATGTGATCTCTAAGACTCTTGACTGATTTGTATCTTTTAATTTCATCTTCATAATCCAGTGCCTGAACTTGTGAAGCAGGATTGTATGTCCGATCTCCCTCAAACCCATCTAACTTTACCTGGCTTTTAAGGCCAAAATCCCAATCTGTAGAATTTGAACTTCCTCTTTCTAAGCAAATACTTCCCCATGAAATTTTCTCAGAGAGAGATTTCCTCCCGTTATTTTCTTTTTCAACAGAAATCCTCTTCGATTCACCTTCAGCATAATTTCCACAAGCATAACTCCACTTGTAGCTCCCATCATGGTTGTCCATATTTAATTCAATAGAGTGAAGATCACTATCAGCTGAGTCATCTGCTTCACACTCTTCTCCATCCGCAACTTCACCTTTATCCACATCTGTCTTTGCTGCTTGACAGGATCCAAAATCAATATTCTTCAAATAAGCTTCAAGCTCTTTGATCCTCTGCAGACTTGGAGAACCATCACCATTTTCTTCATATATTTTGGTTCCTAGGTAGGCCTCAAGTTCATTTCTCAACTTTTTGACAACTGCATTCTTCTCCTCAAAATGATATTTGGCCTCAGAAAGCTTCATCTGGACTCTCTCCTCTCGTAATACATCAGCAAACTGAAGCATTTTTCTTTCCTTCTCCACTTCTTCCCTCACTTTAGCTGACTCTCTTTTTAGTTCTTCAACCATGGCTCTATCTTCTCCAATGAATCTGGCCAACTCATCACATACTTGCCCCAGTATTTCTTTAGCCCTCTTCTCACTCTCAAGCTCTTTTGTTGCCTTTGACAGAGATGCCTTAGTATCTGCCAATTCATTTCCAAGCTTATTGTTCAATCTCTCTGTTTGCTTCCTGAGTTTCTTCTCTACCTCAAGCTCTTCTGCTATGCATGCTATGGCATCACGAATTCTCTCACGCTCCTTTCTCTTCCAAGCTGCCTTTTCTTCTGCAAAATGACTCACGAGGTACTCAATTTCATTGCGATTAGATCGCTGCTTTCGGATCAATTGATCTACTTGGATGCCAGCTCTATCAAGTTCAACACGTAGTGCGGAGACAAGGGACATGCTCGATGAATGTTGCTCTTCAAGACCGCAAATACGATTCAAAACTTTTAGGAGTTCTTTAGAAGTGGCTAGGCCATAACTGACATCCTTTAAACGATTTCTAATTCCAATTATGCATCCATTGTGATTTTTGCCTCTAGAATGAGTTTCAATCTGCATTCATGGCATGAGATCAGTAAAAATCCTATTTTCTGTAGAATAAGGATTCAGCTCCAAGTTTATTACAGTAAATTCTCAGGTAACAAACTGAATAAAATTACTCAAAGCAAAATATATTCTCTCAAAACATGAAAAAGAAGCAAAGGCAATACCTATGTATCAAAATTCCTTGATCAGTATTTATACTATTACCAAAATATTCAAACAAATGGACATAAAATATAAAACAATACCATTGAAACGTTTGATCTGCAATGAATTATAAAGTGCAAATTTTGGAGCACAAAGAGACTCTTTGATTAGCAATTCAAAACCTTCATAAATATATCTAATAGTAATACCTTGCTGAAAATGAAACGTTGGGCATTTTTGTGCAGATGTCATTATCAATGTTCCATTTATATTTTCAAGATATCGAAGAGAGAGCCATTTTGAAGAAAACAACAATAGGACATGCATTTGCCAAAACTTCTGAGGAAATCTCTCAGTTTCCTTCTCTTTCTTTTTTTTTTTGGTTGGGGTGAAAAGTTTCCATTTCTTTATAAGTTGTAATAAATCTCCCTTTTCAACAAAAATTCGGAAAATGGCATCTAACAATCCTGACTGAAATGGAAAAAACAGAAAATTAATTTTCAAAATCTTTTTATCACCTCCATCACACTAGCATTGCCAGCAGAGTCCAAGCTCCCCAACTTATAATCATTTACTTGAAGCTTTTGAGAAACAACTGAAGCTCTTCTCCTATCAGATTTGATCATTGCTCGATCCATCTTCAATAAAATTCAACAGCAAAACAAAACAAAATCAACAAAAAAAAAAAAAACCAAAACTTTAATAAGGTTTCTAAAAAAAATGTTTTCAAAAACTTCAAACTGATAAAGCATAAAAAAACCCACCTCTGAAATAGGACTATAAGACGGATCAGACAAATTTGGGGGCAAAATATGAGCCATTTTTGCAACTCTAGGCGCTTTTCTCCTCCTATCTTTCTTCTCCAACTCCTCCTTAGCTTGTGGGGAAGGGATTGTATTAATCTCCCACAAAGTGGCAGCAAGTTTTCTAGCAGAAACTAAAGCTTCCTTTGGTGAACCCTTGGTGGGAAATTCAGCACTTGGCATTGCTAAAGAAGGCGACTTTGTTGTACCTGTTTTCCATATAGGAACAGGGGTAGTTGATCCTGCTCTTTTTCCCACCAAAATTGCACGCTTAAATCTGTATTTTTGGATCAAAGATGATGATGACGATGAAGAACACCCTCGTTTCCTAATCTTACACGCCTTTTTACCCTTTCCCTCCATGACATTGTCAGTTTTATTTTATTTTTTTCACAATAATTTGGCCTCAAAGTCTCAAATTTAATGAACCAAGTTCAAGACTGAGAGATATTTTGGGACCAAAAGTTTTTATGCTACCATTCTAAACTAGAAATAATGATAAATAACCAAAATTTGAAGATCTTTTTTTTTTTTTTTAAAGAACGGAAAGTATTTTAATGGGACAGAGAAGATAAAGTGGGGAAAAGAAGATGAAAGAAAACTGATTGGTAAGTACCCATCTTTTCTTTTTGGGTAAGTCCCAAACTTGTTGCCTTGAATTCATCAAAGAAAGCGACAATCAAGGATTCTTCTTCTTCTTCTGGTTTTTTGACAGAAGAAAGAAACAGTCTAAAATACATGTAGAAAAGAAAAGAAGATCAAAAAAGCTTTTTCAAGAAGTGGGCAGCTGTCAACAAAATATAAATATATATATACATATATATATATATATATATGTGTGTGTGTGTGTGTGTGTGAATGTAGAAAGATTTGAGAGAGAGAAAAGGGGAAAGATTTGGAGCTCTTTGTTTCGAAATGTTGTTGGCTTCGATTCAGAAATCCTGAGAGGGAAAGAAAGGAGTGATAGAAAATAAAAATAAAGTGATTGTTTCGTTTTTTTTTTTTTTTTTTTATCTTAATTAAAAAGTTAAAAGGGTAAGGGACGACGTGGCATAGACATGAGAAAGGGTGGATTCAATCAGGGACGTCCATGTGTAAATGAACGGTCGGAATCTGGACTTGCCTAGGTTCTCTGTATTTATTTTGTCCCCCCTTGAATGTTTTTTCTTTTCGCCATAAATTTTTTTATTTTTATTGCGTATTGTTTATGGAAAGATTTAAATAAACTTTTTTAAAAATTGATTAAATAAAAATTTAAATAAATAGATTAAACTCTTTTAATATATAAATTAAATGTTTAAATTTTTTTTAAAATAAATTATTTTATATGTATTTTTATTACAAATTTTAACATAGTTTTTATAATTGAATAAATAATGATCAAATAAAATTTGAATTATAAATATCATCTTCATTTTTTTTTTTACATATCATTATTTTTTTCATTAAATTTTATTAATTTATTAATTTGAATTTTAAATTAAAATTTTTTAAATCAATTTTAGTAAAAATTTTTACAAACTTCACTTCATTTAAATTTTACCCATTACTGATGCTATGAATTTACTTGTAAAAGTTTAAATTTATCATATCCTCCATAGAAAATGATATTAATTAAAATGTTGTAAAAATTCTTTATTCATTGTAATTTTGGGTTGAATTATCATTATTATTTTGATTTGATTTAAATTGTATATCATTCACCAAATTGTTGAAAATATAAATTAAAAAAACTACAAACAACAATCAATTTTTTTTTTACAAGTCATATTTTTAATATATTATATTTTTTAATGAATTTTTTTCCTAAAAGGAGCATTAAGGTATACATTGAATGTATATTTTAGAAATGTAAATTTTTATTTACTAGGACTAATGGAACTCTACTCTATTCACTAAATTTCCATTTTTTTTAGAATGCAATAAGTATTACTCTCAAGCAAATCCAATTTTAAATTATAATTAGAAAATATTTGAGAATGTAAATGTTACGTAAGTTTAAATTTGAATGATCGATTATCTATTAGATCAATTACCATATTATTAGAATTAATATTTAAAATTTACGAGTTTGAGAAAATTTAATCATGTAAATTTTTTTAACAAAGAACGTAAGGGTAAATTAAAATTTTTTAAAAAATCTAAATTTGAATTCTTTTATTTAAAAATTTGAATTCAATTTTTTTAATAGATAAATAAATGTATTTATTATTAAATTAAATGTTTCAAAGCTTAAATTTAAGTATTGAAAATTAAAATACTTATACCTGATAATTCATGTCATTGTGTCATGTAAAATATTATATTTGTATCATGTTTTATATAAAAATTATGTATCATAATTTATATCGATATGAAAATATAAAATATAATTTTTTATTTTATTAAACTAATTTTTTATTTTTTTAATTTTTAAATAGTATTATTTTTATATTTTTTATTTATATAATGTTATCGTATTATGTTTCAAATTATTAGATCTAAAAATAATAGATAAAATGAGAGTTTTTTGTGTGTGTGTAACTCTAAATCAAGTGATTTTTTATAATATTATATATGTGAATTTTATTTAAAAGAGATTTAGTTTATCTTTTAAATTATTTTTATTTAATTTATTTAAAAAACTATTATGCAACAAAATACTCTTAAATCTGCAACCTCAATAAATCATTATATATCTCATTTCAACTACTGCTCAATTGATAAAAAAAAAAAAACTTTTCCAAATGATAAACTCCGATTGGAATGTAAAATGAAATATTGCAAAGAAAAAAAACTTGGGGGGTAGATGGGAAAATTTTCACATAAGAGGAGGGCTAATTTAGAAAAAAGGGAATTAAGGAAAAGTACAGAGTAATATTGTGGACGATAGAATCGGTGCCAGTGCAGCCCTCACTCAATCAGTCAATCATTCAATTAATAAGTATCTTCCCTCAATCAAAGAAAAAATATTCATAAAAGAATATATGTTTTTCGTGAATTCGTTATTTTTCATGAAAAAAATATATTAATTTTTGGGGTAATTTTTTTTTTGTTATTTGAATTTGAATTTATTACAAAATTGCGGTATATATCAATGTTGGCTTAAATAAATTTCTTCGGATGAATTTAAAAGAAATGAATTAAATAAAATTAAAGAATCTTTTATTACATAATAAAAAAATAAAAAATAAAGCTATAATAAGGGAAAGGCCAATGATGCAAGGAGTAGGAATCCACTAACTGCTCAAATTTGTTTGGTATGTTATCTTTGGGATTTTCCTTTCCTTGGCAGTTTCTGCTCAACTCCAAAATATTAGTGGGGACCCATTTTTTTTGGCTTGTAGTTAGCCACTCTGATGATAAATTCCCATCTTGGGTTAGAATCAGGTGAGGTGGTCCATGAATCATCATGGTCTTCTTCATGGGGAGACAGTTGATTTTCTTAAGTGGCAGTAGTCCTTTTCCTTTCATCATCCCTAACTTTGATTCTTGTTTTATCAGAAGGAAATTTTTTACCATTTATGAGATGTTCATGGTTCTCATCTGGATTCTGAAATTTCACCGTGGAATGCAGCGTCTATTAGCAAATCAAAGTGGTAAATTGTTTCACATGACTCATGTAAAGTTGGCAAAACGATTTTTTTTTTTTTTTGAAAAATTGATCTAAAATAACTTGATAAAAGTTGCTTGAATCCAAAGCAATTTAAATCCAGAAATATCCAAACCAATTTAAACTCGAAAAATATGTTTAAATGATTACAATTCATATGAAATTTTAAAATTTTAAAATCTTGAAATTTTAAATTTAAGTATCATTGTGTATGGATTTATTTTAATTTTATATTAAATTCATCTAATTATATTTTAATTTATTGGTTGATTTTTTTTTATTCAATTATGTGATATTAATTATGATTAATTTAAATACAAAAGGAAAGCATCTTTTAAAATGATAATCTTGTTGAACAAATAAAAGATTTTCTTTTCTTGGTTGTAAATTTTTGGAGAAGAAATTTGATCATGTTTGAGAATGAATGTAATTTGGAAATGAAGGATGCAATGATATCCACAGTGATAGGTTTAATAATGATGAAATCTATCATAATATCCCTCGATTTAGACATGTGATTCACATTCTCATCTTCATCAAAAGAAAGCTTCGTAGTGATAGTAGGGCTACGAGTAGATATAAAAATTTGAAATATGAAATATGATTATATGATATAAATAAAATATATAAAGATAATGTAGTTTAAAATTTTATAAAAAATATAAAAATTATATTTTATATTTTTATATTAATATGAATTATAATACGTAATTTTTGTATAAAATATAATACAAATATAATATTTTATATGATACGTAACATGAATTATTATATCTAATTATGGGTATAAGAATATCATACAATAATAATAACACTTAACAACAAAAAAAGCATCTAACCAAATAATACGTGCAGTCTATGAAAATTCAAAAGAAAAGCTTCAAGTATTCATTCTTTTGTTTTTGGTTGATATGGAAAGTGTCTTTTAAGGAAAATTTTTTAAGAAAAAATTGAAATAAAATTTCTAATAAAATTTTCCTCCAAAATAAAGCTTGATCAACTTCCAGCAGTAGCATGAGTACTTGAAGCTAGAGAAGTTAAAACAATTTGAAATTGACGGGTTTTGATTTGATTTGATTTTTTAAGATTTATTTTTTTTAAAAAAATTTAAGGTATCGGATTAGGTCGGGTCATGAAAAAAAAAATCAATGTCAGGTCGGGGTCGAGTTTTAGGCAAATTCGACCCGATATATATATATATAAATAAAATTTTAATTATTTATTTAATTTTATAATTATTTTATATATATTTATATATATTTAATTTTATATTTATATTAAAATAATATTTTATTAATTTCGAGTCGGATCGGATATAATTTTATATAATATCAAATCAAATTCAAGTATAAAAATAATAAAAAATTATTAGATCGGATCGGATTCAAATTTTACATGTTTAAAGTCGGATCGAATTTGAGACGAACAAAAATCCGTCTCGACCCAACCTGTTGCTATCCCTACTTAAAGCTCACCTTACAATTCCTAACAACAATAAAACTTTCACTAACCTCAGCTACTTAATATTATTACTACTAAACTTTTGCCAATAAAACTTGTCCACAGTATGTAGGTGAAATCTTCAAGCAGCTCAAAACCTTCGAATTAAACTTGCATCTAAAGATTCTATCAGTTGTTATTAGTTCCAATTTGATAGTAGCAGCTGCAGTGATCATTGAAATTTATTTAATAATCTATTGCTTCCCAACTGTATATATAGCATATTAGAAGCATATAAAAGTTATATTTATAAATTATTTGATATACCGTCAGTAAAATTTATTAATTTTATAAACGAGATTAATATATTGACACATGACTCAATTTTTTTAATTAATTTTTTTAAATATTTTGTAAGAGACATATGTCATACCGTTAATTTTATTTATGTAATTAAAAAAATTACACTGATAATATATTTAATAATTTCTCATTTTATTTTTGTAATTAAAAAATTACACTCATAATATATTTAATAACTTCTCATATATATAATTATATATGAAAAATATCAGTACATGCAAGCGATGATGTGATAAATGGATAGAAATTGAAAAAGCTTCTCAACCACAATGAACTAGAAATTAATACTACTAAATAAAGGCATCACTCGGGCAGATAATTCGAGTTTGAATCGGATAATTTTGGGTTGATTTATTTTTGAGTTAAATAAAATGTTCATTTTTTTTAATTTAATACTAATGTTATTAAGATTCAGATTATTTTGTATTTAAATTATTAAATTTTAAAATTAACCCAATTTTATTTCGAGTCATTACAAGTTAGATTAGATAATTTAAATTTGAATTATTTCAAAATCAAAATTAATCTGAAATTTTAATCAGTTTGACTTTAAATTAAACGAATTCAAATTAATAATTTTTTTCTGTTGAATAAATATTTTGGAGTTCATATAAATTTTGATAACGCTACTATTAAATTAAACAATTTCTAAAAATTCGTGTGCAATTTTTATTGTACAAGTATCAAATTGGAATTTTGGAAAAAGAAAGTAACATTTATCAAATAAGAAGGTTCTTTTAACTCATTACACTAAACTCAAACTTTATATGGAGACTCCGTATGTAAATTGTATCCTCTTTCTTTATAATGTTTTGGTCCCAGGGCTTTTTAACGTAGGTAGGCAGGCAGGCACTGTTGAAATTTATGTTAAATCCATCCTTCGACCCATTTAGCTGAAATTGGCTGCCAAATTTAAGAACCAAGGTCCACGTCAATGGCGTTGGCCTTGAGTTGTGTAAAGTTGCCTCTTTATTCTTAGGAAAGCAACAGTATTTTCAAGGTCTGCTGGACGGTAGTATCAAGGGAATTCAACGGCTACTTTTAACTCCGAATTTAATAAATGAATAAAAGCACAGCCAACATTACTGTGTTAATATTAAATATAATACGGTGATATAATATAAAAATAATATAATTTAAAATTTTAAAAAATTATAAATAAATTTAATAAAATTAAAAAATTATATTTTATTATTTCGTATCGACGTAAATTGTAATATATAATTTTCATGTAAAATGTAATATGAATATAATATTTTATATAATACAATAATACGAAATATCAGATTTAATTATGAATAACTTTGAATTATAGTGTTTTATTTAAATTTTACAAAATTTTAATATTTAATTTAAATTATAAATTTATTAATTAATGTGATAATTTAAGAGTTATTTATTTATTATTTATTATTATTTAAAATTAATTACGTTAAAAATAAATATTATATTAATTAACAAATTTATAATTTAAATATCATGTTAAATATTTTATTATAATTTATGAATCAATAATAATATTAACACTTTTGCATTAAAAGATATATAAAAGAATGATCATTTAACTTATTAGGTTTAAACAAAGTATTCGTTGAAGAGGGTCATGACCTTTTTTAAAAAATAATAATAAACTCGTTCTTTTAACGAAAAATATATGTTTTATTTTATATTAAAGATATCATAATTTGAAAATAAAAAAATAGATGATAAATATTAAGATTTTAATTTTAAAATTTATTAAATATTATTATTAAAAATAATTGCATGAACCAATTAAGTTCGAAATTCAAAATTATTCATTTTATTGGGTCAATAATAGATAAAGTCTTTACTTGAATGTACGATTAAGCTCATCGTACCTCCAATTAAATTTAAATATTAATTTTAATAAAATTAAATCAATATAATTTTTTATTAAAATTTATTTTTCAATCATAATTATAATATTTTTTTAAATCATAATTACAATATTTTTTATTATTATTTTTAAATTTACCGTAATTAATTTCATCATTCATCTAAATACAGCCTAACTAAAATAATAAACATGAAAAGATAATAACATTCAAATTTTTTGGATTATCCAGTTATACCCAAAGATGTTAATTTATAATACGAAATAACAAAGTTTGGAAAGCAAAACCTTTATTCTTTCTTCCCCAAAGTCAAAAGAAACAGAGTTATTTTCTTTAGGAGAATCCTACTTTTGCATTGAAAGGAAAGAAAGGAAACGTGAATACAATAACTACATATTTTTACAGAATGGAAGAAAGCGAAGAGAATGATGAGAAAAGGGAGTTAAAGAAAACAAAAACATGTCATTCAAAAGTAATCGTCAGTCCTTCCCTTGAATCCAATTTGTCCAAAAGTAAGAGTGATGAACAGTCCTATGTGCCACAGTAGCAACCACAACCTGATCATTCAAACAAAAATTAATGTTTTATATTGAATTAGACACTGCAAGATTTATTGTCCGAACAGAAGAGGAAGATCACAAATGGTAATAATAACTACACTGCAAATGTAAAATAAATTTTGCCTTGTAACTCTGTTAAAGAAGGTAATGATAAATTAAATTTAAGTTGTCTCCATCTTTTAATCACTCGTAACTAAAATTATCAGTTACATAGATAAAAAGTTTCTTAGGAATTATTGGGTGATTGGCTACTAATGGATGCGAAGTAAAATATAATTATGAAATTACAACAATTTCATTATGAATGTAGAAAAAAAATTTTATTATTATTATAATTATGATTAAAAAATATAAAAAAAATTATGATAAATTTAATAAATTTTATTAAAATTGATATTTAAATTTAATTTACGAAATAGTAAGTTCAACTACATCAAATTAAAAGTACGGTAAAATCCAAATCCCGCTAAATATTCAAAGCAAGAAATTGTGTTGTGATATATTAAATATATCATCCAGGTACTCACCAGAACTGAGAAGTAAGAGGAGGTGGAGAAGGGAAGTGAGCGAGCTCGGCTCCGATGCTCTCAAAGAAAAGCCCAGTCAAGCTCTTCCCATTGATTGCCGGTATGCATGATGGAGCTATCCACCCAATCAGACCAAATCCTATCACATTAAAGTCCGTACGCAGCCAGTCCCCCTTAAAGCTACCCATGATTCAATCAACCCAATTATCAGAATTAACAAACAAATTAAATCATCAAACGATCAAACTAACAAAATTAAAGTTCACCGTCAAAATTTACCATATGACCTTTTCCCTACAAGCACCAGCCACCATCAAAGGGTTCCTAGCCGTCACCCGGGGTTTCAAAAATTCTGAAGTGGTACACTCCTAGTTAAAATCCCAACTCAAAGGAATTCTTTGATACGTAATGGAAGCAATCATAAAAGTAGCATGATATAGATAATAATAAGTTGTAGAAAAAATTGTTGGTTAATTTTGAAAACAAACAGGTAATGTAATCTCGAAGGATGGTGTGTGTGTGTGTATGTGTATATATACCTGAAGAGAGGCAGATTTTCTTTGCGGGGGTTGATGAGAGCGAGGTGGTGGTGCCAAGGCCAATGACGGTGGATAGGCTTGCAAATGTGGCTGCCATTTTTGGTGTATAGTTGAGGGCAAGTGGCAGAAGGGGGGTGAGTGAATGAGAGAAGTGGAGGAGGCTGGCTTGTGGTGGTGGATGTAAGATTTTGTTAAGGAGTGGTGGGGGTTTAGTAGTTGGAAATGAGATGAAGTGAAGGATTGCATGGATGGATAATTGGTCAATAGTTTGGAGCCACGTTGGAGTTGAGTGGATAAAGTGGGCTTATCGTTGCCTTGTTGGCTGATAATACTTGTCGTTGCCCTCTCAGTTTTCTTATCGCAAGTACTTTGCAAAGCTGGCCATAGATTTTTGATATATCTATGATTTATAATCTATATATTAAAACTATCCTTAAATATAATATGATCACATGTGCAAAGCTTTTAGCTTGTCATGTGTTTTTTTTTTTTTAATTTTTAATTTTTTTGACATGTGATAACAAGTCTTTGCTCATTATATGATATTTTCAAAATTTTAATGTTTTTAAAAAATATTTTTTATTTACTTAATTATAATAATAATTATAATAAATAATAATAATAATAATAAAAGATAATAGAAGGTGAGTCAAAAGATGAAGTGTCGTTGGTAATTACAAAGTCGTCCAATTTTTTTTTTTTACAAAAAAATAAATCAAAATCAAACACTTAGATAATAAAAAAATTCAAAGTAAATACAACTCATCAACAAAAAAATCAAACTAAAAATCTTAAAACTAACAAACATAGTAAATGGCAATCACATATTAAAACATAAAAATGAACTAAAATAATAATTAATTAAAAAATCTGACACAAAAATCAACTAAAATCTTACTGAAAATAACCAAAATTTCTTTAAAAAATTACCAAATTTAGAATTTAAATATTTTTCAAAAAATATCTCTTAAAAACAAAAATTAAAATTAAAAACTAAAAACAATAGATTTAAGTTTTTTTAATAAATTTCAAAAGAAAAAAATTAACAACAACCAATTAACACAAATAACAAAAAACTCAAGATATAAGATTTTCGAACCTTTTTTTTTAAATCTCAAAAATCCAAAAACTAAAAGAAAAAAAAAAGTTTTTAAAACTATTGTTTATAAAAATTAAAAAAAAAATCGCAGGCGAAACAGGGGTAGAACTTTAATATATATATATATATATATATATATATTTGGGTAAAAATTAATTCCATGACTAATCATCTCACTCCATATAATTCTCCAATTTAATGTAATAATAATTAAGTTATTTAGTGTAACATAATAGGTTTTTATTTTATTTTATTTATTTATTTTTTTACAAATGAGGTGTAACTTAAGGATAAAGAAAAAAAATTATAAGAAAATCTGAATATCAGATTAATTAGATGTTATTAATAAATTAACTGAGTTAAATTTTAAGTCAAAATCATTTAATTATTAATTATGCATATTATGTAGGTTAATACAATTTTTAAGACATTTTTTTCAAATTTGTTTTTTATTTAAAATTACAATCGATAATTGAGAATAATTAATAATACTAAAATTGCATATTACATAAAATATAGTATGTATAATATATAATATATATTAAAATTTTCACCTAAAAAGATTATAAGGTTGCCGTTAAACTTAAAAGGATAATCTAATGATTCTCATTTCATTATGTCAAGTTGAAGAAAAAAAAAATTCATCCCATGGGGAGATAGTTTTTTTTTTAATATAAAATAATTAAAAATATCTAAAAAATTTTATAATTTAATCTTCTCTACCTGTGTTGATCACATCGGAGATTAACATTCCAACAATTTCATACGACTTAAAAGCACATATATATATATATATTTATTTATTTGTTTATAACATGTTTACCAATTTTGTGGGGCGTTCTGGAGATTAAGACGCAGCAATCAGTATTTATAAAGTATAGCATTAATGGAATTTTCTTGATGGATTATTAAGAAAATCAATCACTTAGATCGATTAACGTTTTTTAATTATTAAATGATTTTAAAATTTAAAATTTTATCGTGAAAGTTTTAAATTCGAATTTTAAAGTGACTGAAATTTGATTTATAAAATGGATGAGTTATTTTTTTTTATTATGTAATCCAATAATACTGACTTAAAAAAAATGAGGGAATGAAGGTTTTAAATCTAATTATTTTAACCAAAAAAAAAAAAAAAAGAAGTGAGTTAAACAAATTAAAAAGAAACGGAGTGACTTAGACTTTTTTTTTTTTGTGGGTACCCTCAAATCAAATAATCAAATCTTGATTAATACATAATCGAATATTGAATATTATTTGAAAAAAAGGTCTTCTACTCAATAACGAAATGAGGTACTTGGGTGCGTAATTATGGTTTAAGATGACTTTGAAAGCTTTATGTTTCATTTTAAATAAAAATTTACATAAAAAAAAAAGGAAGGTACTTAAATTTTCGTAACAGACAAGATTGACCTGCTTAGGAAAAAAAACAAAAAAAAAAAACAACAATTCGGGATGAACAGAGAAATAAGCTGAGGTATTGAACTTCATTATTCTCTTAGCAAATATATTTAGGAGAACAAAACAGACATATCCAAGTATCGGATTATCTACTCAACTCCAAAGGATAGTACAAGTTTTTAAAAATTTTGAATAAAAAATTAAAATTTGTTAAATAAATTTGCACATAATTTTTATGTTTATATAAATTTTAAGTCAGATGTTAGATAAAAAAATTAAAACCTAAACTCAACACTCAATTCAAATAAAATATTATAATTACTTAAATATATATAATATTTTATTTTAAAATTTTTTTTATTAAACAAATTAAGTTTAATGGGTCGGTTTAGAATTTATTTTTTCAATTTGGACAAGATTTTGAGAATATCAAATCAAAATAGATTTAAACAAACATATAAACTTTCCTCTTTTAGCCTACTGATTAAGAAGTCAGTTAAAAGTTATATAAGGCGTGGGTTCTACCCCGCCATCCTCCTCCGAGCACTAGCCCTCTTTTGCAACAAAAAAAAAAAAAACATATAAGTTATTAATACTAAATATGAATTTTACTTGAATCTGACTCAACTTATGAACACCTTTAAATTAAAAAGATTCTTTGCTATGTTGGTTTAAGTAGTACAGTTTATGAATAGACTCCTACCATAAGCAATGGAAAATTATTAATGCTATAAAATATCTTTAAATTATTATGAAATATTTAATATAATTTTTTAATTTTAAAAAATTTTAATATGATATTTAAACAATTAATTTGTTAAATAATATATTACTCGCCTCTAATATAGCTAGTTCCAAATGATGGCATATGACGTACAAATAATCTTCAAGCATCACATTAGTTAATAAATTCATAATTTATGTATCATATTATAGATTTTTAAAGTTTGATATCATATTTGTTGGCCTTGAATTAATCTTTATTTTGAAATAACAAAACATTAAAGCTAAATAAACTTGATCAAGATTTTGAAAAAGATTTATTTAGTACATGTTCTTAAGTTTTATATTTTGGTACTAAATAAATAATATGATTTTCAAAGATTAAACAAACCTTTCTTGATGTCATATTTCTCAAACAAAATCTATCTTTAAAGATTATTTATTTAAGCTTAAATAAAAGTCCAATTGTTGTTTTTAAAGTGAACTTATTCATTTTGAACTTAATACAATTTTGATAATATTGGTTTTGAGAAATATATTAACTTAAAAAAGTTGTTTTACAAGAACAAAGTTTTTTAACATTGAACTTGTTTTATTTTTCTGTATTAATTCACAAAGTCTTAATATTTGAATTTTATATGATTGAAAAGCCATTTGAGTCTACTTTCTAATGGATCAAACAAAAATCCAAATTTTTTAAGAAAAGATTTTGAATTTTTACTAGACACTCTGCAGTTGTCAGAAAAATTGCACAAGGTGTAAATTTGAAAATTCACTATAATTCGTACACAGTGAAATTTTATATAGATACAAAGTCCTTTAAGTCTAGTTTTTAAATCTTCAAACGATTTATGATTTGGATTTGTATAATTCAAGATATTATCAAATTAATGAATAGAGTGCAGAACAGGAGATAACCACCCAGCCACTGACAGGATCAATCCCCTCATGGAAGGGATTGATCGGGTCAGGATTTTCAAAGGCAAATTGGTTCAAAACATGAACCAATCGATCCCCTCATGGAAGGGATCGATCGATTCTGGGCGGAAACACTTCAACGTCTACTTTTTGGTGCTTCCAACGGTTATTTTCTTCTCCCAAACACTTCCAACGGCTACCGCTTCAATTTCTCTATAAATTGGACACTCCAACACACCAAGAAGATTGATGAATCAAGAGAGCAAGAGTTAAAAATAATACTTTCATTCTCTCAGATAATAAAGAGTTTTTAAAGCTTCAAAGTCTATATCTTTGTACTTATTATATCCAACCTATTTTTGTTGTTCATTCATTGTTCTCTTGTCTATACCTTTGTGTACTTCAACTTAGCAAACACCCAACCTTTGTGAGGTTCTTAGAGTTTGCAAAACACTTCATTTTTTTATTTTGTGAGTTTGTAAGCTTAAGGGGGATGATAACTCTTAAGAGTATATTGTGTTGAGTTTGTAAAGCTTAGAGAAGCTTGGTTGTAATCTTCAACACTTATAATGGATTGAACTCATTGGCAAGAGAGGTTAAAGGAGAGGACGTAGGTGCCTAAGGAAGAATCGAACCTCTATAAATCGCGGTGTTATTTTTTCTATCTCTATCTCTTATTTACTTTCAATTATTGTGTTTAATTATTTAGCAAAATTTGTGCTTATTGAATATTGTTTTTGAAAACTTCATTAAAACCAATTCACCCTCCTCTTGGTTTATTCTAAATCTTTGAGCTAACAATTGGTATCAAAGCTTTGGTCTCTTTTTGTAAGTTTAACCACTTTGAGAAAGATCATATGGCTCAATTTTGATTCCAAGATGATGAGGAAGTCTTCAAAGCTCCTATGGTGAATAAATTTGAATTTTGTGAATGGAGAAAGAGGATGAAGGTGTTCATTATGACCTAAGATTTTAGAGCTTGAAATGTGATTGAAAAAGGGCTTGAAACTCCTTTAAATGATGTAAACTACATGAGGCAAATAATAGATGATGCAAAAGTTAAGTGCATTCTCTATGAAGCTTTAGATAATTACAACTTCAACTTGGTTTCAAAATGCTTAACCTCAAATGAGATATGGAGAAAGTTGGATGAGCTACAAGAAAGATAAATTTTTAAACCAACATCCAT